TTAAAGTATTAATATATAATATTAAATAGGATGGCATTTATAACTGAAAGTAAACTTTGTTTTTTCAAATTATAATTTTTTTTATGTTTAGTTTATTTTAGAAAGGTGTCCCTCTATTTAGGGGATCCAAAATTTTACAAAATTGGTAAATTATTGACACTTTATAGTGAATGTCATCACAATTGGATAAAAATATGTTATAATAAAGTTACCAGTTTTAGACTTTCAAAAAAAAAACTACATTTAAGTATTCAATAGGTAAAATATATTTTTTTACATAGTTAATATAAAAAATGTGTTAATTAAGTTTATAATAAAATTTAGAGCTTTTTATTGCGTTCTTCAAGCATGTTTTAGTTACACTTGTTTAATTTAGCTATTCTTGTGAAAGTTATTTCCCTTTAATGAAGTTTAGTTATTTGGATTTTCAAACGGGAGATAATTCGTTGCTTAATTTTTACATTCATTTCAAATTCCTGCACCTTAGGTTGACCGCTTACATACAAATACTACTTTAAGTTATTATTTGCTATTATAAAAATTAAGTTCTAAACAAAATAGTTTGGTAGGTTTTTTTAGCATTATCAAGTTAAAAAACAAATACATCAGTAGCCGTTGTAGATTGCAAAAGTTAATGTTAGTAGACATACAGTTTTAGTCGTAAATTAAACATCTCCTTAATTGTCTTTTCATATTTTTTTCAGTAATTTTTTGTGTTTGTGTTTTAAGAAGTTTAGCCTAGAGCGCTAAATAGCTGTGTACATTGTGCAATAATACTTTACTTAGTTTTTTAAGTAATGCAATTTTTAAATTGAATGTATAGGCTTCCAATGTAAGTAATGTGCTAAAAAGAGATTTATTATTTTTGCACATTAGTTGAAATCATTATTAAATATTAAAGTTAATGAAACAATAGTAGCAGTAGTAGTAGGCCTATTTTTTTTAAAAAATAGAAACATAAATTCATAAACTGAGGCAAATGTTATAAAAATCCATCATTGATTCAATGTATTAATATATAATAATTGATATTTAGGCTTCATCAAATGTTAAATGAAAATTAATTTTAATTAAATGATACTTGATCTAGTAACTTAAAAAAATGATAACTTTTCTATGTTCTGAAAGAGAAACAATGAACTTAAAAAATGAATTGTTCTAATGCTAGCACTTGCCTATCAAGAAGGACAAAACACTCATACTTCTTCCTGTGGATTTTGCATTTAAGTCTTAATTCTTTTCTTTTAGCTTGAATAAAAGAATAGATAATAATTCAAACTCCAGGTCTGAATGTCACCATTTTGTAAATTATTTACAATACTCACATTTTTTATTAAGAAATATAGTTGAGGCAAACATAAAATGTATCTAGTTGAAAAAAAAAATGCAATAGTACTCAATTGTATTTTTGTTAACCTTTCAGATCAATTTCCTAAGGTACCATCATCAGGTTATATTGTTATTGTAAGTGATCACAGTAGCATACTGAGTCTGCTTTATCCAGGTTAATTGATGCATGGTATATGGTGCACTAGATGGGCTCTGGGTATACTGATTTTTTTATTGTGTGCAGAATAGCATTTAAAAGGTTACAATAACATGACAAATGACCTCAGGACAAAAATATTTTGTCTGAGATTATTTTTCGTGTGGCCCTTCTAAAATAATAGATATAAACTTTTATAAAAATGTCTGTTAATTTGATAAATATGATAAACATGTGTTGTTTTGTATTGCAGTTGAAACCATGAAACAGAAGTGTGGTGTGAAGGGGAGTGAGAGGCTGATATTCACAAACAGGCCTGCGGGAAGAATCCAGGTCATAAAGAGTTTATACCTGTCAAAAACTTCTACATCAGTTGTCTTCCTCGTTGCTATGCCTACATGACGACGACCTTATGCTTGAAGCAATCAAACCATTGGCAGCCCTAACTGTCCAGGGGAAGACTACATTCACCAGTCTAGAGAGACCAGAGTTTTACCCAGGCACTCAAGTTCCTTATCCATTCTATAATAATACTAGACCTCTAACAAGATTAGGCACTGGGAGGGTGTGTGGGGTACGGTATTCTACAGAGAATGATGGATGCTGTATATGTGACAAGTTTCAAGACACAGCCACACCCAACAAAGTGTTGTGGGAGAATCGTGTTGTGACAATGAGGCTTGTGGTGTTCGATGATGGTGAGGTGGAACAGACCAGGTGTGTTTTAGGTTTTGATGACGACAATAGTTCAGTTGTCAGTCTTTGATGGTTGGAAGGTCTGGATAAATAGCATTATGGGAGACCGGTGCAAGTTGATGTACATTACATGTGATTTAAATTTAGCTGTAAAATTGGACAAACTATATAAGCATTTTGTTTATTGATGTGGGGAAGTAGAGAAAAAATATATAAAAGATGACAATGCTGATAAATTGGCAGTTATAGTGTCCCATCCTCATAGCTGTCCTAAATAGGTCTCTGTAGGGCAGTGGATCTTACTGTGATGGAAATTACAGTGTGGATGCCATGTATTAATAATTTTATAATTGATCTCATCCCTGTATAGGCTTTTTACTTTTTATGGTCCCTAAGTAACAAAGGGCAGCAACCACATCTTTCCACAAGATTCAGTCCATGTAAGCTCTACAGCCCTTGTCTTTTCTTCTACTGTTCTGGTCCAGGATTTTCTTACCAGGCAAACTTTCTTCTTCCAGTTTAGCGTTTTCTTAATAATATTATCCTCTTACCTTCTCAGGGTAATGCCTACTTCCTAATACAAAAACTTATTCAAAATTTGTCTCAATACATTTTTTGTATTTTATAATAGCCATGTATGACTGTATATTTCCAAAACTGTGATGGATATATTATTAAAAGTAAACATACATTGAACCTCTGAGACATTTTTAAAAATTAATTTGATAAATACACCATGTATTTAACCCATTTCTTTTAATTCTAACATATCACATTGTTTTTTTGTACATTTATGAAATAGCTTTTAAAGTTTATCTAATGCTTGTTTACAAATAGTATTTCAAATGTATTTTTTTATTAATGTTTTAAACCTGTTGTCCTCCAACTGTTGTTAGCAAGATGAATCAAAATTCTTGTCCAACAACTGCATTTTAATAAGTAAATGTTGCAAGTATGTTTGATCATAATTGATAAAACATAATTGTCTACATTCAATTATTCCTAGCACTTTTTATTTTAATTTTTTTTTATACAAACGGTATTGTAAAATATAAATTAAATATTTTATAAATAAATAACCCAGAATTATAAAAAAAATTATTTTATCCCTATTGTTATTAGTCTGTTGCCAAATGTTTTATGTTGAATAAGACTGTGTGATTAGAGAGCATATGAATGATAACCAGAAAATGACCAGTTCAGCTCTGATAGGTTACTAATTCATGTAGGGCAAACTACATGTGGCCGGAAATACAACTGACTACATCATGTCAATAAAAGGTGAACTCTACTTCATCTGCCAATTAACCATCAGGATTAAAGAGTACATCTTACACATACAAAAACAAATCAGTATAATCAGCAAAAAGTAAAGTACACTTTAGAACCTGATGGTCCATGGGGCAGGTGAAGTTCACATGTTTATGACCTCAGCATAAAGATAGTGTGGTCAGCACTATGGTCAGCCACCTTTACTGTCTGTAAAGAGAGGCAGGTGCCCATCAGAGTTGGTTGGACTCAGGGACATTGTCTGTTCGAGCCTTGGATTTTAATTTGAAACATTCTGTTAGCAGTATAATATTCTATTATTTAGCACAGAGTTTCTTCCAGGCATCTCTTCGGGGAGACTAAGCCCCCCCCCGAAAAAATTTTACCCCCCCCCTCCCCCGAACGAAATGAAATATCTATAATTTATATAGAAAATATATACTTTTAACAGTGTCCGCCCCCCCCCCCTTCCCCCCCCCGAAGAAAGTCTACAGCCCCCCGAAAATTTCAAGTGCCCCCCCCCCCCCCCGGAGAAAAAAGTCTGGAAGAAACACTGATTTACCACACTGTGCACTAAAAGCCACTATATAATCTGTAATAAAAAATATCTTAGTCATGACTAATGATAGGCAACATGCAGGCAGAATAATTTTCTAAAGAACTATAAGACTTGTTAAAAAAATCATAAAAATAATTTATAATACATAGAAAAAAAAGTCTGTCAAAAAATGCACACAACTGATGTTACCCCCCCCCCCCCCCCCAGGTAAACTAGGCCTTCTTTAAAAAAAAAGTATAGGCCTAATACTAATAAGTGTAATAAGGAATTATAATTAGTAATTAGGTAGGGTTAATATTTCAGACTTTTTTCTAAAAAATAACACAAAAGTGTACCTATAGACTATAGACTACTATAGAGTGAGATATAGACACTAACTATAAGTATTAAGTAAGCTTTGTAAAGTAGGCTTATACGTACTACTACTACTTTACTTGTACAGTAATGTACAGGCCTAATAACAATAAAGTATTTAGGCCCTAATTAAATATAGGCCCTAATTAATATTAATTAATTACATAAATTGACATGAATAGGCATTAATTATTAATTATACTATAATTAATAATAGGCCTATAGTCCTAGAATTAGTAGAATTGAGATCTTGTTGAATAAAAAATTTGAGTTGAGTTCCCAAGTTAAAAGTTTGAATATAAAAGATAAAACTTTGCGATTCATTTTGGTTGCTGCGGGTTTTTTCCTTACTATTAATAGTAACTAGCCTAAATATAACTAATTTGTAACTTGCTAAAATTAAATTAAGCCCAAGGTTAAATTAAAAATTGATCCGTAGTTGATAAGCATGAAATTAAAATTTAGATTTAGATCTAGTACAAAAGTTATAGTAACTTATAGGCATGTTTTTTTAATTTAAAACTTATTTAACAAAGTGTATACCCACATCAGGTTCAAATAACCAGGATGCTATAAATAGCATGCCAAGAAATAAATGTAATTGCGGGTTTTCCCGAAATTTATAATCCCAAAATGGTTGGCCACATCAACACAGGCAAGATAACCTCCGTCGACTAGAGATCATAGTCTCAGCCTTACACCTTTATGAAGACGTAATCTAAGTATTTATTTGTGATTGGGTCTTTGTACAAGTAAGTATACGACATTAATTAATAATTAGGCCTATAATTTACAACATAGATTGAGGTCCTAGAATATAAGAATTGAATAGATCTACTCCAGAACTATTTGAAACAAGAACTCTAAATCAAGTTTCAGTTTCAATTGTGTGTCGTTGTGTCCACGTTTAAATCCCGATCTAGTCTAGATCTAGATTCTATGGGGGAGGGCTGGAATGAATTTTGTGATGATGGTGGGGGGGGGGGTGCACATTGTCTTTAAAGAAGACCCCTAGGGTCATGACTAATGTGACATGACACTTTTTGACATCGACCCCTCCCCCACGCCCACTCCGTCAAACGTCACACACAAAAAAAAACGACGCCCCTTTCCTTATGGACGAGCCCCTTACGGTAAGACTACAATCTTTTTAGTATAAGCCTCAGTAGGAATATAGTGGCATTATGCCTACAACTACAATGACACTAGACGCTTGACTACCTTTGACTACTACTATGAAGTTAGACTTAGGACTACAATGGCATTAGACCTAGACATACAATAGTATTAGATCTAGGATTACCATCGCATTAGACTTAGGACTACAACGACGCTAGTCAGAGGACTACAATGACGCTAGACTAAGGACTACAATGGCATAAATAGGACTACAATGACGCTAGACTAAGGACTACAGTGGCATTAAACATAGGACTACAATGACGCTAGACTAAGGACTACAGTGGCATAGACACAGGACTACAATGACGCTAGACTAAGGACTACAGTGGCATTAAACATAGGACTACAATGACGCTAGTATTAGGACTACAATGACATTAGACATAGGACTACAATGACGCTAGACTAAGGACTACAATGGCATTAAACATAGGACTACAATGACGCTAGTATTAGGACTACAATGGCATTAGACATAGGACTACAATGACGCTAGACTAAGGACTACAATGGCATTAGACATAGGACTACAATGGCGCTAGACTAAGGACTACAATGGCGCTAGACTGCAATGGCAATAGACATAAGACAACAGTGACACAAGACATATGACTACAACGGTATTATTATAGTTCTAAAGTAGGATTACGATGATTTAAGACACACCGTTTATTCCTTCCTGAAATGAATCGGGATAGGCGTATTTATAAAATATGACCATGCAGATAGTATTAAACAGTTTATTTTTAGAACTACATGGCTATCACGTAGCATATCTTATCTAATCTTCTGCCTACCTAAGACTTGGTTGTATATGGTCTAGGCCTACAGCTAAACGGAAAACTGACATGTCTCCTAAACATGACAACATATCCCTATAGAATAGCTGTGATCATGTTACGGTACATGTGTAATGGTAACATCGATAATCACAAAAGTAGTAAGTTAAGTTTTTTTTTTTTTGGGCTAAACACTAAATCAGCAAGGCTTCTCGTACACATCTGGTGACTCATTGTACAGCATAACTAGAGTCAGTGGCGTAGCGAGGTCGGGTGTCACCCGGTGCGGCACTTAATGGTGTCACCCCCCCCCCCCCGGGGACAAACTTTGCACCCCCCCCCCCTTTAACTTTCGATTTGCACCCCCTCAAGTTTTTCTCTATATTTTGCTATTTTTTGCCTTGGTGTCACCCCCCTAAATGGTGTCACCCGGTGCGGTCCGCACTCCCCGCCCCCCCCCCCCCCCCCCCTCGCTACGCCTCTGACTAGAGTTCATGTTTTTTTTTTAACCATCGGCATTTAAAGGGATAGTGTGGATAGCTCTATGACCCTGGTGCCTTTACTTTTCACAGCTAGATTTAGATCCCTGATGGACTCTTGTTAGATTTGGGCTAAACTCTAAACCAGAAATGCCTCTCGTACAAATCTGGTGACTCATTGTACATAACACTAGAGGTTTTTGTTTTTTTTACCATCGGCATTTAAAGGGATAGTGTGGTCTGCACTATCCCTAGACGCCTTTACTTTTCATCTATCTAGATATAAATTCCAGGTTGATTTATGTTAGCTCGATATAGGCCACTAAACATTTAAAATTGAACTCTAGATTCTCTGTTTAGTTAACAACTGCTCTGCGACCTGACCACGCCTTTCGTGAATTAAGTAACCAACATTTTAATAATGGTAATAGAGTGCCTGTAATTTGTGTCCGGAGTTTCTACAATGCACCTCTTCCGTGGGGTATTTCTCCCCCCCCCCCCGTATTGTTTCTTGTGTCACTGGGTAATAATAGTCTCACTGTTGCTTTACAATACAACACATCGTTTTTAGCAATTATGTAGGACCTATTTAGCTTTATTTTACTTAGCAATGCTCAAAGAGTCATTACAATTTTCGAGTTTGGTACCGTGGTATAAAATACATTGCTCCATTTTAATTCATTTGAAGAAAAAATAGTTATCAATATAAAACAAAAGTGCTTAAGGCATAGCTTACAGAGCTATATTTATATATAGAAAAAAGTTATAGTTTATGTGTTTCTTGAACTCGGCATCGGAAGGGAAAGTGTGGTCAGCAATTTGCCCAGCCGCCTTTACATTCCCTAAGATGAGATAGGTATCCATCAGAGCTGGGTGGACTCAGCGACGCTCTACTGATTTGAACCCGGTTTCGGACTCGAGACTTTCGGTTTAGCAGCTTATTGCTCTACTTCTTAGGCCACGCCGAACCATATATAGAACTATACTTAGGCTAAAATTTTGATTTCTTAATTTTCAGAAATGCCATCTACTTTAAGTAAAACCATCCTAATAACTGGGAGGACCGGCAATGGCAAAAGTTCAACCGGAAACTCCATCCTTGGCGGTTTCATTTTCAACACTTCCGGTGGACCATCAAAAGGGGATGTAAAAATTCTTCAACACACGGAAACAGTTTTGGGATATAATCTGACAGTTATAGACGGCACTGGGATTGGGGATACAGGAGAAGATATGGAGTGTGAAGCTAAGATACTGCTCGATTCGGTAAACGCTGCCTTGAAAAGAGGATTTCACATACTTGTGTTTGTTTTAAAGTACGGGGTAAGGTTCACCAAGCAGGAAGTGGACGCCGTACAGAGGGTCAAGGACATGTTTGGGGAGGATGTGTTTAAAAATCGAGGTGTGGTTGTGATGACCTATGGCGACAACTACGAGCTAGATAATGAAGACGATGATATATTGTTTAAGGACTGGTGTGAGCATCAGACAGGGGAGGTAAAAAAGTTGTTTCAAGAATGCAACTACAGGTGTGTGTTGTTTAATAATAAGTCCAAAAATAAGAAGAGAATGCAAGAAGAGTTTATTAACATTGTGGGTGAAATGGATTGTCCGGTTTTTACCGTAGAAGATTTTAATGCCTGTAGTAATGGACATACTAGAATACTGCTAAAAGAGAACTTGAAACATTATACACATAATACACAAAATGTAGACACATTTCTACTACAATTTCACGCAAAAGTTGATGCTGTTAATGAGATATCTAAGCTAAAAGAAGCTTTAGAAGAACTTACCTCAAAACGTAACGAAATTATTCGTGAAGATAAAGGCACAAATATTTTGAGTTCTCTGATTCATACATTATCATTTGAACTTAGACAGCTAGAGGAAAAAATACGTTGCCTTCAGCAGCAAGGAGGTAGAAAAGGGTTTAACAACAAATTGTGGATTACTGTTGCCGTATTGTTAGCTGTTATCACTGTTATATTGCCTTTTTGTGGTGTGGATTTGGTGACAGAAACATTTTCACTGTTCTCTCGTATCCTTCTAAATAATACCATAATGAATAGCACAATGTTTAACACAACAAATAACACAATATATGACACAACAAACAGCACAATGAATACCACAAGTAGTAACACAGTCAATGCTACTGTTGAAAATACAATGAACAGCTCAAACGTGACTGAACCATCTGTATAGTATTGTATTTCAAGTTTTAAAACTAGTTGTAGACATTAAACAGCTAATTTTGCTTATGTGCATTAAATACTGGTAAATAATTTTACAGTTTTTGTTAACTGCTTAATTATGTTAATATTAAATTTTAAAAAAATCATATATTTGTTTAAACTTATATTCCTGCATATCATATCTTATTAAGTAGAGTTAGGCATAAAGTGATGTTGAAGTTTATATTATTTGAGCATTATGTACAATATAGCTTGAATGAATTTCTGTAATCAATCATGTTTACGTATTCGCCTTGTGTAATAATACATTGTATTTGTGTGTTTTTTTCAACACAAGTCTCTTTGCATTTGAAATGTGTAATTCTTTATTGTAGAGAGACTTATTTTTTTTTAATTAACATGTGTAAAAAACACAACTTAAGTTGCATGTTTCCAGTCTTTTAATTATCGGTTTAATTTGTTTTTTTTAAAACAAAATGTGATTAGTTAGATTGATTTTAGTGAACAATTATACATGTAATATTTTAAATAAGAAGTTGAATAAAATATATTTTAATAAAAACCATCACATGTGTTTCTTTATTATGACTTAATTGTCATACACTTATGAACATAAGAATTAAAAAACAAATGTTCCCATAATGAAAAATAATATTTCATTATATATATATATATATATATATATATATATATATATATATATATATATATATATATATATATATATATATATATATATATATAATATTTCCTCTCTATCAGCCCCATTTAAACTTGAATTCCAAAGAGAAAACTAATTATAACCATAACACTAACTATACAAATTGGAACAGGGTGGTCGGGGTGTAGAGTTCACGACTGTAACGCGAAAGAGATCGAGTCTGTAGGACGTCCATGAATTCATCCACATCTGATGGGTACCTGGCTCATGTGAGGGCAACCAACGCGCACCTGCATAGGGCTGACCACACTATACCTCTATATTCCGAGCTCATTAAAACATATGAACTCTACTTCTTGTGCAGAGTTTATTTCAGGCATCTCTGAACCCCCCCCCCCCCCCCCCCCCTTTGAATAAAGCTTACCTCCCCCCCCCGAACAAAATGGAATGTATATACAAATAATTATAAACTTTCACCAGAGGGGTTGGGGGTGCGGACCTCACCGGGTGACACCATTTAGGGGGGTGACACCAAGGCAAAAAATAGTAAAATATATAGAGAAAAACTTGAGGGGGGGTGCAAATCGAAAACTTTGGGGGGGGGGGGGGGTGCAAACACCCTATGGTAAAACCACATATGGTCAAAGCACATCTGTGGTCAAAGCCCCTATGGTCAAAGCTCCGCTGTGGTCAACCCCCCTATGGTCAAAACCCTATGGTCAAAGCACCTGTGGTCAAAGCACCATTTTGAGGGGGGGTGTGACGGAGGGGAGGGGGTGGATAAAAATCGTCATTAAAAAGCGTGACGTCATTTATGGATGACCCCAAAGACAACCCTTTTTTTTAAAAAAAAAAGGTAATTTTCTAAATGTTTGAGGATCTACTATAGACAATCTTTATAAGAGCATTTTTATTAATTAAATCTTGAGAAAGTAACACAGAGAACCAGTGTCATCACTGGTAACTGTAAGGAAATGCGCAAAGGAAAACAAAGTGCACAAGGGCATTTTGTTTTCTGAAATCGACAATTTATAGACACTAAAAAATATTCATTTTTTGTACATTGCAGCATAATAGAAACTTTTCCACGAAATATCACAAAATTAAGGTGTATTAGTGTAATTGGTTTTGTATTTGCGCATTTTTCAGTTAGGACAATTTTCCGTTGCACTATTTTCCATTTAGATTATTTTTGTACAGACAGATTACACATTTTCAAAAAAAAAGATTAATATAATAAAATGTAATAAATCAATGAGCTGAATTTTTTGCACTACTTTATTGAATACTCATGTTTCTATTTTGAAACTAATATAAAATAATACAGCTTAAAACTATATATATATATATATATATATATATATATATATATATATATATATATATATATATATATATATATATATATATATATATATATATATACAATTACACTAGTCAAAGTTTATGATTGATACAATAGTAGCTACAAATGCTAAAGCCAAACGCTCAGACAAAAATTGGTTAGCACAAGTTGCATCCCTTTGTCTCAAGACGAAGGCCTCATCTCCCTTTGTTTTCCCTAGTTACAGCGACACTGGTACGCCTGTCTGGCGATGGGACACGTTGAAGGCGTTAGGACGCAGGTTCCACCACTCTTTCCCAAAGACTTACACTTGTCATTGCAGTTGAGCCAGGCCTTGCCTGTAAAGAAATTGCTCCACCTGCGAGATGAAAAACAAATTATGTACCATTTTGAATTTCGGATTATAATCATTTACCGGTATATAAAATACAATGTTGAACTAGGTTGTTTTTTTTTAAATATCTGCCACAATAGATATTGGAGATTATAAATTAGGTGTAGTCATAGGGTGATTTTTAGTATCGCTTTTAGGTGATTTGATCCGAAGAAATGGAAAGGGGATATACGGGTCGGTATTTGAAACTTTCCGATGGGAGAAAATAAAGCATATATTTCTATTTAATTTTTAAAATGTGTCTATTTTGTTGGGGGGGGGGGGGGGGGGCGGGGGGGGGGATGGTAGATTATGTCTTATTATGTATAAGAATAAAAATATTGCGAGGACAAAAATCAAATTATATTGATTATACAAATCGGAACACCAAAGGTTATATTTTTTACTAGCATAACTAGCAGTGGTGAATTTCAAAAGTTCAACTCATAAACAGCTCCCGGCTTACTGAGAACAACGGCTCCAGGTTTCCCAACAGCTTCCAATGACATTGGCATCTGAGTGTTGTGGTTGAGTGGCCATCAGCACCAGCAGGGCAACAAATGTTAACTTTAGTATAGCAGCCATTGTCCTGAAAATATGTCATGTTCAAATGTTGCCCTAAAGGTCTCATCAACATGAAGTTTGCATGGCTTTGAATGGGTGACAGTTGCAGGAATATAGTGACGTTAAAAATCGCAATACGGGGAGATACTATTTAGGCCTTAAAGATATAATTATATATATATATCTATATATCTATCTATCTATCTGTCTATCTACCTATATATATATAGGCTATATATATATATATATATATATATATATATATATATATATATATATATATATATATATATATATATATATATATATATATTCCGAGATACAGTAATAGTCATACAAATATTATTACATTAAAAAACATTAAGAATAGACCATTTTACGTAAAATATAAAATTTACAAATATGCTAAAAAAAGGATCTAACAATTGATATGCTTGCTTATTACCTGGTAAAGCTAACTTTTAACATTTTTTATAAGATACCCAAACTTTACGGCGGCAAAAGTAAACAGCATTCAGATACTATCCATACAAATAGAGTTGAAAAAAAGTGTAAAATATATTTACCTTGGATTATTGTGACTCACGCTTTAGTTAAAGGTAAATGTTCATTCAAATCTTAGTTTCCAGATTTTGCCCACGTAGCCCTTTATATACACTAGCCTGTTTGTCAGATGATTGTAATGTCCGGTTCAACTCTTGGCACGTTTGAGCTCTGGGGTTTAAAAAACAAAGCAGTGGGTAAAACCAACGTGACAAATATTATGTAAGTTTCTTTTCTTGGAAAACAATCATCTACTGCTGCGTAATTGAAAAACTGAAAAACATATGATGGCGAACACATACTTTGACTGACGGGGTGTTAAAAGGTCGGAGGAAAAAAACGAATGTATTAGGTGTTGATACAGTGTCCCATTAACTAATCCCCCCCTCTCCCCTCTCCCCACATGCATCCTGTACCTGTTTTTTATTTGCACTCATTTCGGCGCCCGGGGCGAACTATCAGATTTGAACCAAATTGTGATGTAACAACATTGAAAACAGTCAGTCAGGAAAGCAAAGCAGTAGTCTATCTTGTTAAATTTAACCGTGTACCATTCAGTAATTGAGCTCAGTATTAAGTTTTTAATTATTACTTTTGCCAAGTTTTTCGCCCCATTAGGGTCGGCGCCCGGGGCGGCCGCCCACACGCCCTCCCCTAGCTACGCCTTTGTCGAACGTAAGTGGGTGTGACTAGTTAAAAAAGCTACCACCAGATAGGTAGAACGCACTATCAATTCATTACACAACGCTGTGTAAAACACGATGGGATTTTTGCACACGGCACATGACCCACTTTCGATTTCCCGGAAAGCCGCGTGGTTTTTTAGTGAGCTAAAAATAGTAAATTTTACTTTGACGTGTAAGAGAAACGTGTGCAGAAGTTTTGTTTCGATTTTGTTTTACAAAGAAGGTAAGTGAGTAGGTACACAATGTACTAATAGTATCTATGATATAGTAGTACTGTATGTAGATAATGTACGCTTGTAATATATAGTATAATAATATTGCATGTAATATTGCGTGTAATCTATCGGATAATAGTAGTGTGTGAATGTGTGCTATGCACTCATGGTTAAAGTTGTTGATATCCCTTGCTATGACATACCACCTCCGTATGTAAACATTGTATTGGCAAACAACCATAGTATAAATCTAGTCGACATATTATATCCCCAATCAGTGGCGTAGATAGGAATTGGTCATGGGAGGGGTTCAAATATATATATATATATATATATATATATATATATATATATATATATATATATATATATATATATATATATATATATATACATATATATATATATATATATATATATATATATATATAGGGGTGTGAGTCCGTGGGAGGGGTTATAACCCCCCCCCCCCCAACACCCCCTTGCCTAGGCCACTGTCCCCAATGATAACAACATTATAAACTGAAGAGTTTTTTATAACTTTACCACGGCAGGCGCAGGCTCTAAGATGCTTAACTTTATAAACGTTTATAAAACTAAAAATGCCCGCTTTTTTTACATTAGTTGCAGCTGTTAGCGACGTCGCTCTGGTTTTGTCAGCAAAATCCAACTATTGCAGAATAGCCTGGGTATAAATAAGTAAATATATATATATATATATATATATATATATATATATATATATATATATATATATATATATATATATATATATATATATATATTCGTCTATTTCAATTTACACATTACTTTACCGTGTCAGCATAATCGAATGCATTAAGTTCGCTAGTGTAATGTCTTCCGCGTGATTCACTACACAACAAAAAAAAATTCACATACTGACATGCTCATGTTCTAACAGTTTACATACGCGAAAGTGTCAGGAGACACAGCAAAACACACTAGGGGTCATCCATAAATGACGTTACGCTTTTTTGACGATTTTTACCTCCCCCCCTCCCCTCCGTCACACGTCGTCACAAAAAGCCAGACACCCCCCTAAAATGACGTCACACCTCAGTCTACAACCCCCTCAAAATTGCAGTTGATGTTTTTTTTAAACAGCTATATTTTTCCAAAATCTTGTCTGAACTCTGTCAAAACAGAGTATTTTAATCAACTCCTATTACAATTTATTAAAACAGTTTTCTAAAACGCAAAATATCGTCTAAAATTCGTTTTCTAACATTGCTTTTTTTAATGCAAAAGTGTGACGTCGCACCATCTGAACCCCCCCCCCTCCCCCTCATCACACACCGTCACAAAATTACAGACCCCCTCTCCCCCCTACGAGTGTGACGTCATTTCTGGACCACCCCCCCTTGAGGCTGATATAGATCTGTGTAGCTACACGCTCTGTCTATGGATAAATGTTGATAAAATAACTTGTCCGTGTACTATGATCTTTAAGGTTGGATACAATATTTCGCGTTTTGGCGAAGGGTTATGATTAGTGTTATGACTAGGTTTGGGTTGGAGGTAATCTAAACTTAATGGTTATAGGATATTTTATATTTGCAGGTGAATTATAGTACGTTCGTGACTTTTATAATATTAACCAAAGCTGTAATACAACGTAAAAAAACCCAGTCGCTTAATTAATCAAGAACTGAACGTACTCAATTAACCGTTGAATGTGACAATCTCCGTAACTAATTAGATAAATACTGAAACTATATATAATCTTGGTTTCAAGCAATCTAAGCATAGTCCTATTTCCCTCTATTTCATCTTTATTACCAGAGGGTGTATCCATTTTAAACAAAATATAATGAGCGTGAGGAGCAACTCAAATCAGGCTTATTTTTTAGCGCAATTTCCATATTGACAATTGCGATTATTAATTCGTTCTGGATGGATGTGTGTCCGATGTGTGTCCGATGTGTGTCCGCAGCTTTAAGTCGTATCTCCTCCTCAACGAAGCAATATCGAGGACTAGTTTGAAAGCAAATATGTTAAGCATGTCCCGAGGATGATTGTGGGCCAAAAAAATTCCCGGAATTCCTTCCTGGATTTCCCGGAAAAGCCAAAAAACCTCGAAAAAATGTAATTTTCGGCCCATATCTCGGCAACCAGACCACTTAGCGACTTGAAACATTTACCATTCGATTCCTGCCATAATTTAGAACAATATTGCCGAAGAAAGTTTTCAAAAATATCCTTTCGTTCGGTCACAAAAAATTAGTTAAATAAAATTGCGCTTAAATTGTCACTAGACTTTTTATTAACTTGTTTATATTAGTGGGTGTTTCATAGATGTGATATTGTATTCCCTCAAAGCAATAAATTCGATTTCGGTAGTTACTCAAATAACTGCTGTATATAATGAGATAATAAATAAAGTCTAGGTTTTTAGCTTTCCAAACATATCACTACCACTGTTTCTTCCAGATTTTTTTCTCCGGGGGGAGGGGCGGTCAACATTTCCGGGGGAGGGGGGCGGACACTGGTTAAAGTATGATTTCTATATAAATTCTATTTCGTTCCGGGGGGGGATAGACTTTTTTTGGGGTGGGGGGGGGGTGCGGAGCCGAAGAGATGCTTGGAAGAAACTCTGATCCCTGCTCTTTACACCTCACCATTAACACGCTATTGATGAAACAAAATAAAATCTTCACGAAGATCAGTAACGAAGATCATTCTTTCATTAGCACACCATTTAATGAAACATAGTTTAATGTGTAGGCTACCAAGGTTAATTCAGATCATTAACATACCACTTAATTAAAGAAAATATAATATGCACAAAGATAATTCTGATCATTAACACACCATTTGATTAAACAAAATATAATATGCACAAAGATTATTCTGATCATTAACACACCATTTGATTAAACAAAATGTAATGAACTCAACAAATAATTTAGTTAAAGTGTCTGACTTTTCGTTATGATTGAGATTTTCGTTTGCATCTGTATTCACTTTGTGCATTGAATTGAAATGACTCAGACTTTTACAAACGCCTTCCATTTACTCCAGTACAATCATTTTATTTTTCAGATCGTTCAATGGCTCAAGTAACAGGTGACACCCTTCTCGTGGTTGGTAGAACAGGGAATGGAAAAAGTTCTACAATCAACTCAATTCTACAGAAGCAAGTCACCACTCGTGGTGATGAGATATCGGTGAACACCAATGGTGATCTAACACTGATTGATGGGTCCGGCATTGGTGACACCGGGGATGACATGATCGTCACCCCCAGAGATCTGATCGACTCGATCAAGGAGAAGATGGCGCAAGGTTTCACGGCTTTGTTGTTTATGTTGAAATACGGAGTGAGGTTTACTCAACAGGAGAAAAACGCTGTGAAAACCGTTAAATCTATTTTTGGTGAGGATGTTTTTAGAAACTGGGGGATAATCGTCATGACGCATGGGGACAACTTTGAACTTGACCAGGATGAAGATTATTGTCAATCCTTCCAAGACTGGTGCCAGGATCAGAGAGGGGACATTCAGAATTTGTTCCAGGAATGTAGTGGACGGTGTGTCCTGTTCAACAATAAAAGACCGGACGACACGCAAAACCAAGTCTTAAACTCGTTTGTTCAGAAGGTTAAGTCAACAGTAAAAAGACCGTATTCTATGCTTGATTTTAACCATGCTAAAAACATGCGAGACTTGTGGATGCAGCAAAATGATAAACAATACACAGTTACCATACCTGATGAAGACCTGATTTCCAGGCCCACTGCAAATATCCACCATTACAAATCATTAATGAACGCAAGAAATATGGTCCAAGTTTTAATACTTGCAGTGCCAGCCATATTGCTTTATTTGTGGACATTTATTGCTGCTTTAATTTATATTGTATTGTATTTATTGGTAGCTTATTGGAAGTATAATGATCAGATTAATGCTCTGATTTGCTCAAAGAAGAAATTATACATCTCGAGTGCTGTGTAGCTTTACTCAACCTCTTCAACACTGTAATACGCAGGTTTTATAAATATACCCGTAACTTTACTAAACATTCTTAAACACTGACACACATCGTATAAATCTCTTCAAATTTTCACAATAACTTTTCACTAATGTTAGACCTATCATTAATTTTTTTCATGACTTAAATATATTTCATAACTTTGTGATACACTGTGGGTATAGTTGTGGCCTTATATAGGACATACAACCTCTCTATATAGGACATACAACCTCTCTATATAGGATATACAACCTCTCTATATAGTACATACAACCTCTCCATATAGGACATACAACCTCTCTATATAGTACATACAACCTCTCTATATAGGACATACAACCTCTCTATATAGGGCATACAACCTCTCTATATGAGACATACAACCTCTCTATATAAGACATACAACCTCTCTATATAGGACATACAACCTCTCTATATAGTACATACAACCTCTCTATATAGGACATACAACCTCTCTATATAGTACATACAACCTCTCTATATAAGACATAAAAACTCTCTATATAAGACATACAACCTCTCTATATAGTACATACAACCTCTCTATATAGGACATACAACCTCTCTATATAGGACATACAACCTCTATATAAGACATACAACCTCTCCCTATAAGACATACAACCTCTCTATATAAGACATACAACCTCTCTATATAAGACATACAACCTCTCTATATAAGACATACAACCTCTCTTTATAGTACATACAACCTCTCTATATAGGACATAAAGCCTCTCTATATAAGACATACAACCTCTCTATATAAGACATACAACCTCTCTATATAAGGTATTCAACCTCTCTATATAGTACATACAACCTCTCTATATAGGACATACAACCTCTCTATATAGGACATACAACCTCTATATAAGAAATACAACCTCTCCCTATAAGACATACAACCTCTCTATATAGTACATACAACCTCTCTATATAAGACATACAACCTCTCTATATAGTACATACAACCTCTCTATATAAGACATGCAACCTCTCTATATAAGACATACAACCTCTCTATATAGTACATACAACCTCTCTATATAGGACATACAACCTCTCTATATAGGACATACAACCTCTATATAAGACATACAACCTCTCTATATAAGACATACAACCTCTCTATATAGTACATACAACCTCTCTATAGAAGGCATAAAACCTCTCTATATAGGACATAAAACCTCTCTATATAGGACATTGAACCTACATTATGCTGTCAATACACACATTTATCTAAAGGTCAACTTTAAAATTACTCGCTCCATGCCCAGATTTCTTATAGTCGCGAATTGACCCCCTCCCCCTTTTTTTTTACTTTTTTTAAAATGATCAACTCCACTCCCACCAATATTTCGTTTTGAAAATATAAAAATATTGTTAATGAAAAAAATCCGTTGCAAATTGTAGACAAATTCAAGTATTAAAAACTTTCTACAACTATATACACCATAGTGTATTTTAAAATTTTACATCTGTGAAAATCCTCCCCATTAATGCATTTATTGTCCAGACAAAACAATTGTGAGGGCTGTCAACATAGATATATAGTTTAGTTTCATTTGCAATTTCCATGTATTTCTAAGTCTTGAGACTCTTTAGTTGTACTCAGACTTAAGTTTGATAACTGAGGGCTATTTGTATAAGCTTTTATTAAATCTAATGCACAGTGGCTTATTTTTTATGTTTTTATTTCTTGGGTCGCTAAAATATGTAAAGACATCATGAGCGTCCAAAGCTTTTTATTAAATAAAGTAAATCTGTGTTATTTTGTTATTTACAGTGCATTTAAAAGCATAGTATTATAAGGATTTTATATTGCCTTTATTCATCACACCGGATGTTAAACTACTGCTTGATTTAAGTTACTACTGTTTGTTTTTGACCTCACTTCATTGATACAAGCGGGTGGCTGTAACTTTAGTCTTTAATTAATTTAAATGTATTGTATTATTTTTACTCATCATACATCTGCCAACGGCTTGAAATTAATAGTTAACCCATATACGAAGTATTGTTTTTATGATAATAAATTGCCTTTGATGAACATTCTGTGCCGGCCCAGTGTGTCAGTGGAACAACAAGGAAAAAAATGAGAATGATGAAAATGCCATCTTGCATTTTTTAGACGATATGTTATGAGAATGAATGTGGGTCTAATATTGAATCTAGCATCGTCGCTAGGTCGGGTGTTACCCAATATCAGCATGGATATCTACTCGTCCTCATTTACTTCGTCCATATTTAGACATACTAAAAAAATGTAAATACGCACATTTGTCAATAAAAACCACAAACACATTCAAAAATTAAAAGCTTTATCGCTACAAATATGAAAATTATATATTTTAAAACTCTTTCGTTTTTTTTATTGTGTATACATACTGCTTATTCTTCTCTATTAATACTATTTATGCTGACATTTTTGTCATTGCTAATGATGTATCTGGGTTGGTTATCATGTATTACCATTTCTCGGGATCAAATATTTGTACTAGACTCCAGGGGCTCCAAACTTTTCAGTCCGAGGGCCGCATTAACTATCAAATTTCAGTTCGGGGGCCAGTTTCTTCCAGGCATGTCTTTGATTTTTCTGGGCAAAGTTCCTCAGCCATCACCAATCAACGTTTTTTCCGTGCACAAAAAGATCTCCGCGGGCCGGATGAGAGGACATCGCGGGCCGCATTTGGCCCGCGGGCCGTAGTTTGGAGACCCCTGTACTAGACTATTAGTCTGATGACTGAGGGCAATTTCTCATCACGCTGGTTGCTTGATTGTGATTAGTACTGGGTTTTTTTTTGTCTCATTTGATTAATATTCGCGGTCGCTGTATTTTTTTCTCTCGAATAATTTTCAATTTACTTTTTAGCGCAATTTCCATTCTGGAGAATTGCGTTTATTAACTCGTCTTTTCTGGGAATGGATGGATGGATGGATGGATGTGTGTCCGCAGCTTTAAGTCGTATCTCCTCCTCAACGAAGCAATATCGAGGACTAGTTCCAAAGCAATTATGTTAAGCAAGTTACGAGGATGAACATAGGCTATAAAAATTCCGGGTTTCTTTCATGGATTTCCCGGAAAAGCCAAAAAACCTCGAAAAAATGCAGTTTTTGGCCCATATCTCAGCAACCAGACCACTTAGCGACTTGAAACATGTACCAATCGATTTCTGCCATAATTTACAACAATATTGCCGAAGAAAGTTTTCAAAAATATCCTTTCGTTTGGTCACAAAAAATGTTTTTAATTAATTAAAATTTGGACCGAATTAGTAGGCATTTTATGCAACCACACCACACGCGTCATCACGTTCAAAAGCTGCGCCATCACGTTTAATGGCTGCGACGTCACGTTCGGTAGCTGGGCGCGCAATGGTTTTTAGTCATGTTACTCTATTGTAAATAAAACATGTAAAATACTGAAACAAAAATTAATAAAAAACGTTTTAATAACTAACCAATGGTTTTACTAACCCTGCTCTTCATTTACGCTACGACAGAGCTATTTTAAATAACACAAGGAAATTGCGCTAAAATTGTCACTAGACTTTTTTTAATTACTTGTTTTACTTTGCATACAACTGTGTTAAATGCTTGAAAAATAATAAAACTCATATAAGAACCATTATTGTATTTATGTTATTAAATTGAACCAAACGTATTAACAAGTGTGTGTTTTCGTGGTATAAAGCATGGTATAGTTAATAAAGATCTAAAAAAAAAACAATGATACAAGTTTACCAATGCTTGATATGGTCACATTACACTGTTGTTTACCACGCACAACAAATAGACTTCATCGAGGTAACTTCAGTATTTTATTATTCAGAACAGACAGCTTGACCCCAAGACACACACTCTCATATATATATATATATATATATATATATATATATATATATATATATATATATATATATATATATATATATATATATATATATATATACAATACAAGGGACGCAACAATAACTAACTATATATAATTTAATAAGAATAATAAAAAGTTCGTCTGTAAATGGCGTGATATCAATAAGGGTGGAAAGGGATGGGCGTTCGAAGTTCCGAGATGGTGTGTGATGAGGGGGAGTGGGGTGGGGTGTTCATTCGAAGTCTCTTAACCTCAAGAATAATTGATAGTGTAAATGTATTGAAATCGAATGAAGTAATTACACCATTTTAAATATAGAACGGGTGATTTAGAGTCCACCTGGCTCATTGAATTCAGCGTATAATAATAGATAGTATGTTTAATTCTATACACATACGTTTATATGTTCCCTTGCGTGAAGCAAAAAACCATCTTTAAAATAGTATTGTAATTGAACCCAAGAATATTGAGTTATCAGCCTTAAGCACTACCACATTGTCATAAAAACTTATATTTTGTTAAAAACAAAGACAAGTTTTATCCAATATATTTTACTTCACCTATTTTGGGCCAAAGCTTTATTCCCCCTATACCTTAAGAGAACATATTCAGTGTTTCTTCCAGACTTTTTTCTCCGGGGGTGTGGGGGGAGGGGCTTGATATTTTCGGAGGGCGGACTAAATTTTCCGTGGTCATGGTGGGGGGGGGGGCACTGACAAAAGTATATATTTTCTTTATAAATTCCATTTCGTTCGGGGTGGGGGGGGGGGGGGGGGAGAGTGGGAAGGCAAACTTCCTTCGGGGAACCTTAGTCCCCCAGCCCCCTTCCCCCCCCCCCCCCCGAAGAGATGCCAGAAAGAAACACCTTCACTGTGATAACCATTGTTTTCGCTTTTCATAATCTTAAACCATCATCTGATAAGCTTAACTGTTGCGGTCCATCTGCTTGCAATATGTCAGCATTAACTTTTTTTTTTCAAATTTGCTACCTGGTGTTTGTATGTGTATGTCTATCTTCGGGCTGCATGTGTTTCTAAACACTAAAGTGTGTTGATTAATCTTCGTTTGTGTACAATGTACATCTCTAAAATACACAATTACAAAGTGTTTGACAATCAAGGGGATGCTGGCGAAGTAGACTTCCTTAAAAAAAAGCATCACTAACGTTGCTCAAAATGCTTCAAAATGTAGACTATATCTACACAAAAAAAAAATTATTTATCTTTTTTTTTATACACTTACTCCATCTCTTTTTCTGTGTATATAAATATATATATATATATATATATATATATATATATATATATATATATATATATATATATATATATATATATATATATATATTTATTTATTTATTTATTTATTTATTTAAAAAGTAACAAAGGCAAAACAAAGTATTGAGTATATTTGTAATCCAAACATTATTGCACATCATGGCATTAAAAAAAATTAATGTAGTTCACAATATAGAAATTCAACACCCGTAATTAAACTACACCAGTCTGTTAGAAGCTACGATCTACCTTTGACATTCTACAGGCAGCTATAATTTAACATCACCAATTTGTAAATCGCTATAACTTAACTTCACAAATAGTTATTAAACAATACCCCAACCACACGTCACACAAAAGCTATGACATAACTTCAACTCTTTCTCCACATCAATAAATGTATCGATTAATAGACATCCATAATTCAAGTTAACCAGTCTGTAGACATAATACAGTCTTACCTATCTCGTCATAGTTACCTCTACTCTAGAGCAATTACATCGAATTAACCGTCTCCAGGTAAGGCGGCTGGGCATAGTGCTGACCATATTATCCTTTCATATGCTGTGGTCAAGAAACATATGAACTCTTCTTCATCTGTCCAACGCATCGCCAGGTCTAAATATGAATCTTTTATTTCACCTGTTTCCCGACAGCATTCATTTAAAATCACGTTATCTTTCGTTAGCCTTATCTCAACTTTACAACACTTTCATCAACCACAGTGTCACTTCCGCTACCACAGCCGACGCCAACAACAAAAACACCACCAGCTTATATTTCATGTTGACACCACACTCTTGTCGTCTATTCACGGTGACGTCATAATTATTATGACCAGGCTCCCAGTCAGAATCCACATCTTGTAGGTTACCCTGGGTACCAATACACGCTTTCTCTTCATCATACTCTATTAAATTTCTAACCTGTAGCAGTTTAAAATCAACTTTAGTCTCCGCTATAGAAACAGTCTGAATCAGTTGCTGGACTTCCGGTGATTCGTTGTCCAACTCCCTACATTTCGTCTTCTTCTCCTCCAACATCAACTTTATTTTTACAAGATCGTTAAGAAAAATCGTATTCTCCAGAACGTCATTTTGATTATTGATTTTCTCGATTAATTGATACGTCTCTTGTTGTATTTTTAGAAATTTGAGCGTGTCGAAGAACCTCTGACGTGATAGGTGAGCTTCGATGTAGTTTGTTGTTGAGTATCTTCTAGAACCGGATTTGACGTTGTCAACATGTTGTTTAAAATTGTTCACCTGCATTTGAAGTTTGTGAATATCTTTAGTTTTGTTGTTAAACAAAACACTCCTACTTTTGCATTCGTCATAGAGAGTCTGGAAATCTCCAGTTTGACTTCGGCACCAGTCTTCAAACGAATCAGGGTCATCTTCCAGGTCAAGTTCAAAATTGTCCCCATACGTCATGACGATGATCCCCCAGTGTTTGAAAACATCCTCGCCAAAAATAGATTTGACCGCGAGAACGGCGTTCTTCTCCTGTTGAGTAAACCTCACCCCGTACCGCAAGACGAACACCAAAGCCGTGAAACCGTCTGTTATCATTTCGTTGATCCATTCTTTAAGTTTCTCAACGTCTGCAATAGAATCAGAACCAGTATCGCCAATGCCAGAACTTTTGACTAGCACCAGGTTCTGTTTCCAGAGAGCGAAAGTATCGTCCGTGATGTCTGTTGTATGAATGGATCTGATGGTTGAACTTTTGCCGTTTCCTGTCCTCCCAACAAACAAAACGATGTCAGATGTTTCAGCGGCCATTGCCTGATCTAAAGTATTGAGGGAAAAAAATATTACATCATATTGCGTAGATAACATAGGCAGTGGCGTAGCGAGGGAGGGAGCGGGGGGTGCGGACCGCACCGGGTGACACTATTTAGGCAAAAAATAGCATAATATATAGAGTGATGAATTCGAGTCTTTTAAGAGCAGAGGGAAGGGGTGCAAATCGAAAGTTTTTCCCCGGGCACCAGGAAGGGTCGCTACGCCTCTGGGGGGTGACACCATTAAGTGCCGTACCGGGTGACACCCGACCTTGCTATGCCAATGAACATAGGGTTTGTAAACATTGAATTACTAGCACTTTGCTAATTCGATGGTTGTTTCGACCCAAGGTCTTCGTCGGCATATAACTGCGTGTTTATAGATAGACAAAAAAGAAAAATAGTAACATAATTTTGGACTTAGCTCGACAGTAAAAACAACGTCTTATCTGTTATTGCCTTTAATTTGTGAGGATACCAACACTACCGTTTTATTATTATTTGCATAAACCTTACTGCAGATATAATTTGTATATGCTTCGGTGTCCGGTCAAAAACCCCCTGGACAAAAACCCCCTGGGCATAAACCTCCCGCATGATGTCAGTATTGGTCAATAACTTTGTTAAGTAAGCCTTTCTGTGTATGCATATAAAAATTGCATAAAATAAATATAACAATTATATATTACAATCGAGAAAATACTGCTATTTAGGGTTTATTGTCAATTTAATAACTTGCTTAGTTAAACATTTTAAGAGACAGTAAAATTTAATGAATTTTAATAAGAGCATATAAGCATATATTATAATGAGATTAGAATAACTCATTAGGTCAATACATTTTTTTTTGTTCCGGAAAACTTCTAGAAATTTCATTAGAAGTAATGTTATAAACTGTAAAAACGTATTGCGCTTAAGTAAGGTTTATTAGTTTTGGGAAATCTTAAGAGTTGTCAGGAAAGAAAATTAAGTTCATTTTAAAAAATTTAAAATGACACATTTTTTATTCTACATAAAATTAAAAATTCAGCTCAAATGGTATCAATATAAACGCCGGCTTGCATTAAAAAATTGAGAAAAAGTAAACACATACGTTAAAATAACACAACTTTCACATGAAGAACACATCACAACACACACAACTTTATCTGGTCAAAACAACTCACTGATCCAGTAACTCAGCCAAAATACGCACCAACCGTGTAGTCGATAACGTCGATATCTCCCGACACAGCGGTATCAGTCAGTGATTGACAACACACGATACCCCGGGTATCGTGTGTTTTTCAGTCTCAATTTATATCAGGTCAAGGCTATCATGCTCGTTTATCTGTGGGGAACAGTGGCGTAGGCAAGGGAGGGTTAGGGGGTTATAAACCCACCCATGGACCCTTATATATATATATATATATATATATATATATATATATATATATATATATATATATATATATATATATATATATATATATATATTGTATACTTATGGAAAAATGTTTGAACCCCTCCCATGACCAATTCTTCCTGGCTACGCCACTGGTGGGGAATGTTTTGTTTGGCTGATGTCTTGATTAGATAGGCGTCAATTAATTATACCAGGTTTCTGGTTAGAATGTCCATCGAGGCAACAGATTCTTATGCTTTTAGGCGTTCGGTTTTCTATCTTTTATCTATCTTCATGTAACGGGTATTTTTTGTGGCGCTGCCGCTGCTAAAAATAGAAGTACTTATTTTTGCAATGATGTTAATACGTGTAAACTAGTAAGTTTTGAAGCTTATTTATTACAGCATGTAATTCAATAACACGAGGAAGTAGAGTTCTTCCAAACATCTCACCTGGTGAAGAGAGGGAGGGGGGAGGTGATAATTTACCGACGCCTCCACGGGATGAATTAGAATTTTTTCTTTATTTCAATAGAAAATAATCGTTGTCCGCCCCTCCCCTTCCTTTGAAGTTTCAAAATTATGCAATACTGAGTTTGTCAACGTCACTAAAATTAATACAAGTCTAAAAAGTATTAAAAAAGTAAATATTAATATTTTATTTAAACAAATAGGGCCTTCGTAATATTTATTATAAACAATAGATTAATTGTTTAAAGAAACTCTTATAATAGCATTTCGAAACCCATTTCACACAATGAATCAGATTATTTTTTTAAATTAATTTAGTTCATTATGCGTTTTTATTTGTTCGTTAATCCAATCTAAATGTGCATACACTTTAGTATAAACTGGAGGCAGGTAGTTGGCAATACAATTCCTGGCACCAAACGAATGAACGCCGACCAGATAGAATCTACCATCACGACTGCAGCTCAAAGGGCCTCCCGAATCACCTCGGCACTCTCCGCCTCCTTCCGGAATACCCATACAAAATTGCTTGTCGTTCGGAGGCAAGGTGAAGAAGTTCCATATATAATAACAGAGAGATTGGTCAAAGAAATAAGTCTTTAACTGCTGTAGTGTTTTAGGGTAGACCCCGTGGGGTGTGGTAAATCCCCACCCGGCGACATAACAGTGTTTATCGTCTTGTATATGTCTGAAAGGTAGACATATCGGCCTGATGTAGTCGGTGAAGTCGACTGGTGTTTGCATCTTCAACACGGCGATGTCGTTCCATATACTTCGCTTGTTGTAATTTTCATGGCGTTTTTTAAACGCGAGTTTGCGGGTGACGATGTTGGGGTTGTTTCTGAAGTCGTTGATGGTGTTCATTCCTAGCGTGACGGTGTAGGTGTGGTAGTCGTGGACGCAGTGGGCCGCGGTTAGCAACCAGGAATGGTTGATCAAGATGGCGACGCAGATGGCGTTACTGCTGCTGAGGATTGCCACCCAAGGCCAGGCTTTGGCCGGGGCGTCGGTGCCGTTGATGATGGAGCGCGAGACGTCGACCGCCGGGGAGCCGCAGTCCGGGTGGTTGGGGAAAGGTGAAGGTCTGTACGATGGACCAAGCCAGCGCACCATCGCGGGTTTGGAGTCGTTGTACTTCTGCTGGTACTCAGACAGATTTTTTTGTTCTTTTACACAATTGTGCAACTTTTCTTCGTCTACGGTCGCGTCGGCACCGAACACAATCACAAACTGAATGGAAGTGGGAACAAAAAAGTATTAAATTCTACTTAAGGACTTACTTGTTCATCTGTAAGCAGTAAAATATCAGTGCCCTTTGTTAAGTTTAGGATTACAACATATGTCGTGGTTATCAAAACAGATTAACTCTACTTCATCTGCCCCATTTGTCATAAGGATTTAAAAAATTATTAGAAATATGCACATTTTTTGATAATGTTTATAATTAGATGTTGTTACGTATGTTAGTCAGTGTTACGACCCTTGTATTATATATAGCTTAATTACGTCCCTTGTATTATATATATATATATATATATATAGAATAGTTAACTCCCTTAAGCGATCAGTGTGTTAACTGTGATGTGTACTTGCTGTGTACCTGTGTGTTAGTAAACTAAAAACAGAGCAAGAGACAAGAGAGCTATCTGTGTATAAGAATGAAGTACTAAAGTTAACTCGAGGAAGTGTGTTTGTTCTAAATGGGGAAATGAAGTAATGTAACAGATATAGATCTAGGTATGGACTATTGTCGATGTTGAGGAATTGTCATTTGTAGTATTATAGCCGGACAAGTAGAAATAAATATCATCGATAAATGCCTTATGGTATTACAATTGTATACGTTTCAATTGGTATTGTAAGGGAAATATGTTATTAACGAGAAAAATGGCCCGTTGAGGAAGGATACACCGGGCGCTAGGTTGATAGTGCTGTCTCTTTTCTCTAAACTAAAACCAACCCACCCCCACACACACCACCCCCCACCCCCACCCCACCCCCCCACACACCACCCCCCAACCCCACCCCCACCCCACCCCCACCCCCCCCACCCCCACCCCCAAAAAAACATGTCTACCGTCCCATTCAACGAAATATAATTATATACTTTTTCCAGTGTCCGCCCCCTCCCCGAAAATTCTACCCCCGCCCCCGAAAATTTCAAGTACCCCCACCCCTCTCCGGGGAGGAAAAAGTCTGAAAGAAACACTGGTGTCGCGCTTAGCCACTACGCGAAGAATTGCATTAAAGAAATTGCGAGAAAACCACTTTTTAGATTAGACACATTAATTAGGCGGTAATTTTATTATAGAGTATCGATGAGGAAACCACCCCACCCCACCCCCCCCCCCCCCACACACACCCCCCCACCCCCTACCCCCCCACCCCCCACTCCCAAAAAAATCATGTCTACCGTCCCATTCAAAGAAATATAATTATATACTTTTTCCAGTGTCCGCCCCCCTTCCCGAAAATTCTACCCCCGCCCCCGAAAATTTCAATTACCCCCACCCCTCTCCGGGGAGGAAAAAGTCTGAAAGAAACACTGGTGTCGCGCTTAGCCACTACCCGAAGAATTGCATTAAAGAAATTGCAAGAAAACCACTTTTTAGATTAGACACATTAATTAGGCGGTAATTTTATTATAGAGTATCGATGAAGAAATTTCTTTTGAGTTGGGGAGGGGGGGGGGGCTCAGACGTTCTTACGCGTGGGGTGGGGCTTCGCCCCTACCCGAAGAATTGTATGCAGGAAACTCTTCACGCAAACCATTTAGATTAGACAACATTTCCTTTTTATTCAATGTTTACGCGATAATCAATGACGTCATTATATTACTGTGTGCACTTTCCGCCTTGAGATTATTTTCAACTTTAATATGCTAAATGTGTCGACGTCATATTTCGTTTTTCGAATTACTGTGCATGTTTTTATTTTGCTTGTGTTTTCTCTAGAGCGTTCTTGTCAGATAGAATTTTTGCTTATGTTTTCTCTAGAGCGTTCTTGTCAGACAGATAGATAGATAGATAGATACACAGACAGCGAAACTATTATTATAGACTAGAAAAATGGCCCGTTGATGGAGGATACACCGGGCGCTAGGTTGATAGTGCTGTCTCTTTTCTCTAAACTAAAACCAACCCACCCCCACCCCCCCCCACCCCCCAAAAAACATGTCTACCGTCCCATTCAACGAAATATAATTATATACTTTTTCCAGTGTCCGCCCCCTCCCCGAAAATTCTACCCCCGCCCCCGAAAATTTCAAGTACTCCCACCCCTCTCCGGGGAGGAAAAAGTCTAAACTAAAACCACCCCACCACCCCCACACACACACACACACCCACCCCCCCCCACACAACACCCCCCACACACACCACCCCCCACCCCCCACACACACACCACCCCCCCCACACACACCCCCCCCCCACCCCCCACCCCCCCCCCCCAAAAAAAAACATGTCTACCGTCCCATTCAACGAAATATAATTATATACTTTTTCCAGTGTCCGCCCCATCCCCGAAAATTCTACCCCCGCCACCGAAAATTTCAAGTACCCCCACCCCTCTCCGGGGAGGAAAAAGTCTAAATTAAAACCACCCCACCCCCCCACACACCCCCACCCCCCCCCCACCCCACACCCCCCCCCCCACACACACCAGCCCCCACACACACCAGACCCCACCCACCCCCCACCCCCCCCCCCCTAAAAAAACATGTCTACCGTCCTATTCAACGAAATATAATTATATACTTTTTCCAGTTTCCGCCCCCTCCCCGAAAATTCCACCCCCGCCCCCGAAAATTTCAAGTACCCGACCCTTCTCCGGGGAGGAAAAAGTCTAAACTAAAACCACCCCCACCCCCCACACATACCACCCCCCACCCCCCACACACACACCACCCCCCCCACACACACACCACCCGCCACCCCCATCCCCCCCCCCCCAAAAAAAAAACATGTCTACCGTCCCATTCAACGAAATATAATTATATACTTTTTCCAGTGTCCGCCCCCTCCCCGAAAATTCTACCCCCGCCACCGAAAATTTCAAGTACCCCCCACCCCTCTCCGGGGAGGAAAAAGTCTAAACTAAAACCACCCCACCCCCCCCCCACACACACCACCCCCCACCCCCACACACCACCCCCCCCCCCACCCCACACACACACCAGCCCCCACCCCCCCACCCCCCCCCCCCCCCCCCCCCAAAAAAAACATGTCTACCGTCCCATTCAACGAAATATAATTATATACTTTTTCCAGTGTACGTCCCCTCCCCGAAAATTCTACCCCCGCCACCGAAAATTTCAAGTACCCCCACCCCTCTCCGGGGAGGAAAAAGTCTAAATTAACCACCCCCCCCCCCCCACTCACACCCCCCCCCCCCCCCCCACACACACACACACCCACCCACCCACCCTAAAAAAAACATGTGACATTCAACGAAATATAATTATATACTTTTTCCAGTGTCCGCCCCCTCCCCGAAAATTCTACCCCCGCCCCCGAAAATTTCAAGTACCCCCACCCCTCTCCGGGGAGGAAAAAGTCTGAAAGAAACACTGGTGTCGCGCTTAGCCACTACCCGAAGAATTGCATTAAAGAAATTGCAAGAAAACCACTTTTTAGATTAGACTCATTAATTAGGCGGTAATTTTATTATAGAGTATCGATGAAGAAATTTCTTTTGAGTTGGGGAGGGAGGGGGGCTCAGACGTTCTTTCGCGTGGGGTGGGGCTTCGCCCCTACCCGAAGAATTGTATGCAAGAAACTTTTCACGCAAACCATTTAGATTAGACAACATTTCCTTTTCATTCAATGTTTACTCGATAATTAATGTCGTCATTTTATTACTGTGTGCACTCTCTGGTTTGAGATTATTTTCAACTCTGTGCTAAATGTGTCGACGTCATACTTCGTCTTTCGTTTCACTGTGAGAGTTTTTAAATTCCTTATGTTTTCTCTAGAGCGTTCTTGTCAGATAGAATTTTTGCTTATGTTTTCTCTAGAGCGTTCTTGTCAGATACATACATACATACATACATACATACATACACAGACAGCGAAACTATTATTATAGATAGTACGTTTTATCCATATGGATGTAAATGTTTTAGCTGGTCATAAAATACATATCCTTTTGTTTACTGGCCTTAGGCTTTCATCTTTTCCCGTTCGTGCCCAAGACACTTGTGGAAGATGAAGTAGAGTGCACCAGCTTCAGAGACCTCGTCATATGAAGGGATAATGAGTTCAGCACTATGCCCAGTCGCATTTGTTTCCCTAACGTGAGTCAGTTACCCATCAGATCAGGGTAGATTCAGGTATATTGACTTGAACCCGGATTCGAACTCGAGAGTTTCGGGTTAGTTCTCTACCACTAGGCCACACCGCCCCACAGTGGTGGGCTTTAGTAAAGAGAAATTTCTGTAAAGAAACCGTGTTGATAGAATCCTTATCGTATGTGTACTGTGACTAATGAGCTTATTAAAAGATAATGCATGTAAAGTGCAGAGAAAGAATAGATAACGTTGTACTGTGATTAGGAAACACGGGAAGATAAAACTGTGGACACGAAGATGGGACGGCGTGGTCTAGAGGTAGAAAGCTAGACTGCTAATTTGCAAGTCTCGAGTCCGAATCTGGGCTCAAGGCAGGAAATTGTCTCCGAGTCAACCCAGCTCTGATGGGTACCTAACGCACGTTAAAGCAAAAAAGGCCGAGGTCTCTGAAGCAGATTAAACCTACTTTATCTGACGTATGTATCTTAGACACGAAACTAAAAAGATGTTATAGCAATATAATTGTCCTATTTTCTTAATTAAATAAAAACAAATTTTAATACAAACATTATATATCAAGAGGTTCAATTATTTTATGCCATCTTTTTTGAAGGTTTGTGAATTATTGTTTACAAAAACTAAACTTTGTCGACATTATGTAACACAAAATAATAAATACGTAAATAGATTGCATGATATTCAAGGAAAATTGAACATTTTGTTGTATACTTACAGTAACAGTTATTATAATAAATATACAGGCTTTTAGTGCGGACATTTGACACTGAATCACATTCATTTTCAACCCAGCATAGCTTATAAGATC